CCGCTGAAGAGTGCGCAGCGGCTGCGGGCCAGCTCGCTGGGTGCCGCTTTCACCTCGCGCACACAGGCCAGCAGCGCCGACGCGCTCGTGCTCATGCACTTGACGCCCAGCTTGAACTGTTCGCGCGAAAAGCGGTCCCGCGACTTGTCACTGGCCAGGGCGCACGCGTCCGTCAGGAACTTGAGGTTGCGCGACAGGCCCTGCGACACCTCCAGCAGCAGCTGCGGCGTCATGTCGGCCAGCGGTGTGGCGCGCAGCACCGCGCAGCCCTGCTCCACCTCGTGGCGGCAGCGCGTCACGCGGTAGCGGTCCACCAGGCCCGGCTGCGCGGGCTGCGCGCCCGGCGTGGCCACGGCCGCCAGGTAGGCCGCATGGGCCGAGCATTCAGTCAGCGACACCACCAGGTCGCCCAGCTCCACCAGGCTGTCCCCCGCTTCCCCGAAGCGGCCCATGTTGAGCTGGCTCTGCACGTCGTGGGTGAGGATGGAGAGCCCCTTGGTGCGCGCTATGATGGTGTCCCGGCACTGCTCGAAGGATTCGACACCGGCACAAGAGGAGGCGGGACCCTCAAAGAGCACGGGCCGCGCCTCGCTCGACAGCAGCAGCAGGTCAGCCACCAGCTGCATCTTGCTCTTGCAGTGGTCGCAGACGGACACCAGCCTCTTCCGCGGCTGCGGGCAAGCTCCGGCGACAGCGCTCGCAGGGGCCGGAGAAGCCGCCTCGCCAGTGGGCTTCCCAGTCGTATAACTTCGTATAATGTATGCTATACGAAGTTATTACGGGGAGCAAGGTGTGAATCTAAATTGCATTGGGATAAAAAAATCCATGGGTTCTCCAAAGGAATCAAGAAGAGGAAGAAATAACTTTGACTATAAGGTTTTCAACAACTGCAAGAATAAGAAATTGATTGCCCATATGTATGTGGGGGGAGCAGTTTGGAGGTGGGAGGTGTTGAATTTGGTTTCAGACTCAGTTTGAGGTAATGTGGGAACTGCATATGTTCTGTAGGGTACTCAGAATTTGGGACTGTGCGAAAGGTCCAAAATCAATTTTGAAAAGTTGCCACATAAGATGAGGTCATTGCACACAGCTAGTGTTCATTACTCGTTTGAAAGATAAAATAAACTAATAGGGTTGAAGCTTATTATTTCGGGGCACTAGTTCTAAAATTTGAGCATGTTCCTGGTAGGGGAGGGGGTGTTGTTAAAATACATACTGCTGTACCCCACTCCCCAGAGTTTCTCATTTAGTAGGCCAGAGCCATTTGTGTGTCTAACAAGTTTCCACATGCTGGTCTGAGGACCACACTTTGAGCACTGGCTTAGGGAAATGAATATAGAAGGCACAAAGGAGTGCTGAGATTCCTGGGGGAGGAAGAAGAAAAGAAGATAAACAAAGTCACAGAGGTAGTGACCATTACTCACTAGTTGACACTAAGGACATAGATTCTAGAAAGGAGGTATTTCAGGATTTCAAGCTTAGGAAATAAATGGTATCAAGTGAAGTAGAGAGATAAAAATGAATGAGTAATGAGTATCAGATTTAATGGATAATATTGTCATTTGTGACCTTAGTGAGCAGTGTTTATCTTTGTGGGGTCACAAGCCTTTAAAAGTTTAATGAAAGTTGTGGATTCTCTCAGAAAAATGTACACGTGCCTGTAGTTTTACACACGCTTTTAAGAGGGTTCATAAATTTTATTGAGGTCCTTGGGTCCCAGATGAAGAACTCTGCTTTAAGGTAGTCTCATTAAGAGTGGTAGGTGTGGAAACCATATTTTAAGAGGGAAAGAGCAGGAAAGAAGGAAGTAATTTTAGAAATGAAAGGACACTTCCTCAAGATTGTAAAGATGGTTGGGACTGGACTGGTGATTGTGCAGTTTGCTTAAATGGAGGTCCTTAAAATAACACTTTGGCAGTCTGCACAGCTACCTGAGTTTTTAGGGATGTGTACTATGAAAAAATATAGACTCATTTCAGAAAACTGAAATGACCCATGGCTTTCTGACTTCCTTTCCTGGACACTTGTTTCTCTGCTGCTGTTAAACTCTGGTGTGGTCAGAACTGTTGACTGTGTTTGAGATGGTTCAGTCTGAACAGTCTTTCTGTCATGTATTAAGCAAGTTTCCCTTCTTCCAGGAAAAACATTATTTTTTCTACAAAAACGAATTATTTTTCTATCACTTGCCAATTCTAGTGGAAACATTTAGCTATTTGTTGTATCCTTGGCCTAATGCTCTGGAGT